AATTTCAATAATTATTATAATTTCTCTAGAGATTTAAATAAAAATTTATCTTTTTTAAATAAACTTTTATGTACAATAATTTTAAAAATTTGTAACAAATATGAAAATTTAATTCGTTTTTTGTATTTTCCAAATAAATAAAGAAAACTCAGTCTAATAAAATTCAATATTTAATTCAAACAAATTATAAATTTATTTTTTTAAATTTATTTCCTTAGCTTTGCATAAAAATATTTAACAATAAAATTCGTTTATTGAAATAAATGTTTATAATAAAAATTTTATTTTTATGGTGCGTCCTTTTTTAAAATATTTTTTAAAATCTTTAAATTATTTTTCGAACATTCCAGAGAATAATAAAAAATATTTTGATTATTTTAAGCAAAATTACTGTAGAATTTCCAATAATTTAAAGAAATAAAAGTCAATTCGCCCCTGATATGGATTTAGTATTATAAATGTTTTCACTATACCTCAGCCTTTATTCTAATAAAAATAAAGAATTTATTTATTTCAGTATCCCTTTTTTCAAAAATTATTTTTTTTTATTAAAAAGGCAAGAATTAATAACACGTTTTTTTACTCGTCAACCCAATTAAAAATAAAATGCGCACGAATTGTTACTTACTTTTATGAATCATCAAAAAAAGTTTGACTCATCCATTTTATTGAATAAATGAATGGGGTTTTTTGAAAATATTTTTTTATTATTTTTTTTCAAATTTTATAGTTTTTTAATTTTTTATTTTTGTTTTCTTTGGAGAAAGTTAATCTTTTTATAAATTTATTTTTTTATCCTAATTATATTTTTTGAATCATATTTTTTATATTATATTCTTGAAAAAACAAATTGCCGTATTTACTCTATTAATTATCCTGGGGAATTATTTTTTCAACCCATCCTTTGCATGGGGAATTATTTAAGGGAGAGGAATTATTCGAGTTTTGAAATTTGAACGCGTATATTTCGGTGAGGGGGATTAACGTTTCAACTCGTCCGTAGCGGGGGGAATTATTCGAGAAAGGGGAATTATTTGAGGGAGGAAAATTAATCGAGTAAATACGGTACCGAAAGTAATTCTTTGATATTTTACATAAAAATTTCCCTCAGATAAAATAGTTTATCATGTAATAATTCTTAATTTCGAATTCTTCAAAATTATTATATCCATTGGCTTAATTTGCTAGAGAAAAACGCTAAATATTTCAAAAAGACACGGATCAAGCTCACAATTCCCTATATAGACAAGTCTGGCGAGGTTTCCATCCTAGTAAAACAAAAATTAAAAGGATCAGCTAGTCTGTGATGGGATGATTGGGCGGTTAATAAGCTTGCATCAGAGCATTTACCTACAGACAAACCGTGCTATGTAGATTAAATTCTTACTCAGATTAATTAAAATAATTAATAAGAAATTTGGCACGCGGACATATCGGGACGGACATATTGGGATATTTCAATGTACGAACAGTTACCCTAATGATTTTTGGACCTACGGCCACTGGGTCTTGGATAGTATATTGTCATGTTGAGCAATCGAGTTTTTATGTTTTAGAACAAACGTAAAGATGCAAGAAATTATTTTTATCACCCCAATCCGTCCGTCCCGATATGTCCGCTGTTATGTATCGACTTGCGGTGTGTCCGATACTAACAGAAAGACTAACTAACAAGCTCACTATCAAGGTTTATCACAAAGGTAACAATACAATAGAAATGACGAGACTATGCGCTGGAGTAGTATATAGCTTGACTACGGACTAAGAGTAACTGGCGACTAAGGACTGACTCTAGACTCACACAAGACTAACACTAACTAACACACCGACTACTAAAAGGCTTCGCCTTTTATACTAAGCCGCCACCCTAACACCTCCCTTCTTTAATTAAGTCGGGACTATGTTTCCGACTTTTCTAACTAGACTTGGTGGACTTAAACTACTACTACACTCCAACACAAACAATACAGCGAAAAATACAAAGGGCCAAAAATACAAAGTGAGCAACAAAAGGGGAGATACAATAATTACAAACAAAATTTTACAACAACAATATTATCACACTTATTTACTTCTTACTTACATCTTTCATCTACTTCTATCGTCTCCCGTCACAGTGCTCCCTTGCGTTGGCTCATCTTTTGGCCTCGTCGCGTTCGGTGTTGCCGTCGTTGCTGGAGCTTCCTTCAAATTGGAACTAGACTCCAATTGACTGCGAGGTTGACCATGTGTCGAACCTTGATTACGGCTTTCATCTAACTTCATTGAATTTGGCCTAATTTGCCATTCTTCGCGACTGACTATGGCTCTCAGCCTTGGGACTTTGACTTTATATCCATCTTCGAATTTTCTCACAATAGTCCCAGGCAACCAAACTTTCTTGCCATTCTTGCTCCTGTTCATGACTAAGACTTCTTCATCTTCTTTGAATCGACTAGAATTTCCCGAATAATTTGACTTTCCCTTTAAGAATCCTGACTTTGTCGAGCCTTGAGTAACACGACTACTCTTCGGACTATTCGACTTTTTACTCTTTCGATTCTTTTCCCGACTAATCTTTCTACTATTCTCCTTCAAGTTCGGGACTTCTATCGTCAGAATATGTGGGACTGAAGAATCAACTTCTACTTGATTTACTTCTGGACTATCGACTCTCTTAAACCGTTTCTTTGGTTTCCTACAATCTCGACTAATGTGTCCGACTATTCCATAATTATAACACTGACGTGATTCAACTTGGCGTTCTTTTTGCCTTGACTTAATTCTTGATCGCTTCGACTTTCTGCTCTGACTATGTTCGATCCGACTAACATTATTTATCTCAACATACTCTTTAGGTCCACTCTTGACCTTTGCCTGACTATCGAACATTTTCGCCTCCGACTTATTCGCCAGATAACTCCTCCTTCCTCCATCAATGCCTTCAACATGCAGACTTCCGACTTCGCATATTTTTCTACAAATTTCAGACTTATCTGCCTTACATCCAGCGCCTTCTCTGGAATGCCAGCTATGAATACTAGAATTTTGCATTCCTCGACTGTCAAGTCCATATTCGCTTTTTCGCATTCTGCATTGACTAGAGTTCCGAATTCTAGAATTTTCTCCACTGATGGGCATCTCATTTTCATGACTTCGAATCTTTTGACTATTTTCGATCTTGAGTCACTGAACTCCTTTTTCAGTACCTCGACTAGACTTTCGAAGTTCATTTCCTCTAACTTTTCCGGCAACATCTTTTGCGACATTTTTGTATAATCGACTCGGCCCAACTTTTCGACTAACAATCGGACTCTGACTTCTTCTGCCAAGGATTTTCCTTCTACTTCAAAGTAGGACTTGTTCTTAGCGTACCATGACTCAAATGTGATTCCCTTTTCAATGTCTGACTGGAACTCTGCAATCAATGACTTCAACTTACAATACAGTTCCGTCGACTCTTCCTCTTCAGACTTGATCGCAACTGACTGACTCTCTTTCATCATTTCAAGCCATTGAATTTGCATCTGTTGCGAACGAGCTTGCATTTGCTCTTGTGCCTGCAGTAATTTTTCAAGCATTTCATCCATCTCGACTGAATTATTTGACTAATCAAACTGACTTTTAGACTATGGGTCCTGCCTGTTCGATTTTTCTGACTACTCGATTAAGAGTTTAACTGCGACCGCGCCACTGTTATGTATCGACTTGCGGTGTGTCCGATACTAACAGAAAGACTAACTAACAAGCTCACTATCAAGGTTTATCACAAAGGTAACAATACAATAGAAATGACGAGACTATGCGCTGGAGTAGTATATAGCTTGACTACGGACTAAGAGTAACTGGCGACTAAGGACTGACTCTAGACTCACACAAGACTAACACTAACTAACACACCGACTACTAAAAGGCTTCGCCTTTTATACTAAGCCGCCACCCTAACATCCGCACACCAGAAATTTAACTAAAATCAAAATATTTTGTCTAATTTTCCTTTAAATTTTAACTTTTTTAAAATTATTTTTTAATTTTTAACTTTCATTTTTAAACCATTTCTTTCTTTTTTTCTTTCTTCAATAGGCATTTATTGATCTTATTTTATTTAGACAGCCATCCCCGACTGTCAGATTGAAAAATGGTGCGGATTGTAATGATGGCTCTTTTTCATGCATCGCTCACTAAAACACCCAACAACCACTCAACAATTTTTATTTTTTTTTGTTGCTCAGAATAAGCTCTTTAAAATTCTATAAATATTTATTTTCTTTAAATTTTTATTGTTTTAATTTTTATAAAATTATGTATCCCTTTTAGAATAATTTATTTTTCATAAAATAATTAATTTCTGAAGGATAATTGAAAAAATATATTTTATGGAAATAAATGTTTAGAGTTTGCATTTCTTTTGTTTGTATATAACTTAATGATCATGAAATCAGCTAATAGAATAATAGAGAGATTTAATCTTGAAATTTTTATTTTTAAGTTAAATTTGCGCTTCTATACACTCAACCTTTCTAAGTTAATTTAATATTGTATTAATATTTTAATATATCGTAATTTCTCGATTAATTCCCCTCCCTCGAATAATTCCCCCTCTCGATTAATTCTCCATGCTAGAGATGGGTTGAAACAATTATTCCCCACCTCCAAATACCCTACTGTACGTTCAAATGCTATAACTCGAATAATTCCCCTCCCACGATTACTTTCCCATGCCAAGGAAGGGTTGAAAAAATAATTCCCAAGGGGAATTAATCGAGAAAATACGGTAACTTTCTGCACAGTCAGGATCAGCCAACCCTATATCCTTTATGCCCCATTTTCTCATGTTTAAAATTTTTAGAATTTATTGGACATTAGGCAGAAGAAACACCTAAACAATACCTCATTTTAGTTACACCTAATTCTTACGTTTAATTGTTTGAGCCTAAAATAGTTTACTTAAAATAAAGTTTCTACTTAAATCACTTAAGAGATATTCTTTAATAATTACATACATATTAAAATACATACATATGTCTTCTTCACCATTGAGAGCTTCAATTATAGTAAGTGCTATAGTATTCACAGCTATTGGAATGGGTCTTTCAATTGCTGGATTATTAAGTCCTTCCTGGCAGGTTTTTAATTTAAATTAATTATTTTATAAAAATTTTAAATTTAATAAGGTAGTTAATTTGCAAGAATATAATTCTGTCCACGAACACGGACTTTGGCTTGACTGTATTAGACATATGAGGGATGTTACTGGAGTATTGTTAAGGAGGTAATTATTTATTAATTCAGACGGGACTGGAGGGTGGTGCTAGAATCAAGATCTGCATTTCGAAAAATATAGTTTCTTGATAATCGAGATTTTTGTTCGAGAATTTCAAGATTTAGTAAAGCAGCTGGGCTATAGCTATTTCTTTCCTTTAGCTAGTGCAAAAGGTTAATCGGCGGCTGAGATCGAACCAGCATCCTAAATAGATCGGACTGATGTATTATCCATTACACCACACCGCCTACTGCACAGCCTTAGGAATTACATAGCTAGGTTATGCTTTACAATTTCAAGATTTTTGTTTATGTTTGCCGGATCCGAAAAGAACCTCAGAGTTAGAGGATTTCCCAGGGATCGCAAAATTACTGGTCTGATCTCTGATTAATAGTGAAATTTTAAGGTCGATTGAATGCCCGTTAAAAAAAGTTCATTAGAAGAATTTTCTGAAAATTTTTCGGGATATCACTTTCGTGTACCTCAATTCCTGTCTATATTTTTTAATTTAAATAATTTTAAAATATATTTAAAGGTATTTAACTGAAACAGAACCTCTTCATTGTGTCTACAAATTCGATTATGACAAGCGAGTGAATTTATTATAATAATTAGTGACATGGCATACCCACCTACATAAAAATATAGAGGAATTTAGTTTGTCCTTTCCACCCCATACTTTCAATTAATATTTTCCTTATGGCTTCTAGATATTTTTAATTTTTAAAGGTATTCTGGGACTTTTGATATTGAAGATGATAATTCTCCTGTTGGGGAAGTTAATAGACATAAATTTTATGGATGGCATACAGCAACCCTTATAATGATTGTTTGTTTATTTTCTTGAAAGGCTTTATATATTTTCCAAAAAGATTCCTTTTTTACCTACGTTTAGCCGAAAATTTAAAATTTATGGGAAAACCTCAAAAATTTCTTATAAAAATTTTAATAATTTATTCTTAAATTTCAATATACCTAACTAAATATTTAGATAATAGCCTTGATCACAGGCTTTTGTTCAATTTGTATAGGTGCTTGTAGTTGTGCTATTCCGTCATTAACTTTGATTTTTACGACTACAATTTTATTAACTAGTATGATCTTTTAAGTAGCTTTTAATATGAACAGAGAAAGGATTTCGTTTATAGATTCCGAAGCAAAAATTTTAAGGAAACATCTTAAAATTTGAAATACAAAAAAAACAAATATTCTGATTTTTCTCCGATTAGGATTTTTCGAGAATAAATCCTTTAATCACAATTAATTCTTAAATATCTATCCTTATATATACATTAATACACTGTTCCAAAATTATAATGTCACACTATTTTTTTATCATATCTCATTGAAAAAGCGTCGAAATCTTATAGTGATTTTTTTTCGGAAAATAAAATTAATGCTATCTTGTCGCAAATTTCAAGAGCTTTCAAATAAGCCCAAAATAAAATTTTTATTTCATCTGTAAGGGGTCGAAAATATTTTTTTATATTTAACATTTACCCCCGGTTTTCCGTTGATATTAGGGTTTCAAGATCCCGATGATGGGAGTACGTCAGAGCTTCATTTCTTTTGTATTTCTTATCAATATTGATAGATATGTTCACAAAAATTTTTGTGGGGTTTTCCACTATTAAAAACCTATAAAACAAAGGTGACCTTATAATTATGGAACACTTTAAATTCATTTAAATTTCAGCTTTCCTTTCCTCTGTGGCCGAGGGTGTTTTCTTTTTCTTTTCACATCGTGCTGACAATCGTTTTGTTAAAGGAATTGTTGGCACTTATGAAGTAACATAATTTTTAAAAATATTATTAAAATATTTTTATTAGCAACGTGTTGGTTTAGCTTTCTTTTTACAAATGGGGGCATGTTTCTTCCATTTTATCGCCTTCCTCATTGCAATGATGGCTACATTGTACACATTATTATTATTATTTTTAAAATTTCTAAATTTCTAGTTTTGCTTTTTCTTCTAAAAATTCTTCATTAAATCATGCACATTCATTATCAGCAAATTCATTGAAATCAAATATTACTGGAATGGGAAGGTGAAAAATTTGCTTTTATTAATGGTGTTTTCGTAAAGCTGTTAGACGCCCATTATCTAAGCTAAACATCGCCACTAACTTTTTTAGAGAATAAAAAAGTATCCTTGGGAAAGCAATAAGGAAGTAGGCTGGTGCATATAAGCTCTAATGGAATGGGCTAAGGAAGATCACTTCTTCATTCATTCAACAGATCCACCGGTCAATCCATCGAGTCTTATAGAGAAGAGCTCTCCCTATATTCCCCCACTGCGATTCACCTATTTCTGTGCTCTGCGGAGTTCACACATGATTGCAAGCATGCGCGACTCTGCCTATAACATCAACTAGACAACGAGGTACTGAGGAACGGGACCAACCGCTTTACTATATGTATTAAAACTAAATTTAATTTTATTATAATCTAAAAATGATTTTAATTTTGGCATAACTAAGTATCAAACATCCATATTTTATCTCCTTTTAATTTTATTTATTTTTTAGAACCACAAATCTGTCTGATCCTACACTACGCCCACTCTTACGTCCAGCGCCCCCTCCACCTCCACAGTCTCAATCTCGTCCAGGCTCTTCTACAGCTTTGCAAAATTTTGATTATATGGGACATGAAGAAACACCCCAAGGATCTCTTTCACTCAATTCTGGTGCTCCTCCTCTTCCACCACATAATTTAATGACACCACAACAGCAATATGTATTTCCATCAGCAAAATCTACATCCCTTCGACACGAATCGTAATAATTTTATTTTAAGTAAAAATATCGGTAGTTCCCCTGTAGGCACTACCAATTACTAGAGCTAGGATTTTTAGGCACGATAAAGTTAAAAATAGGCGCCTATATAGGCACTAAAAAACTGCCAAAATAGGCACTAAAATCCGAAAAATGCCAAAATAGGCAGGATTTTTTCGAGATTTTCTGATTTAAATTAACTAAATTTTACCAAAAAATATTAATCTAAGCAATAAGCTGTTAAATAAATTAATTTTGACGATAAGAATTACATATAAATTAATTTATATAAATTATTTTGTTTCCAAAAATAATTTGATAAATTTTTCTGAAGAAAATTTTTTCAAAAAAATTTTTAAAGGCCAATGAACAAAAAATTTTTTAGAAAAATTTTATATTTTACCAAAAAAATTTTTTGTAGACAAGAATTTTCTCAAAAAATGCCCAAAAATTAACAAATTTTAGTAAAATATGCAAAATAGGCTGAAAAAAGACAAAATAGGGCATTTTGTCAGAAAAAGTTAAAATAGGCAATTTTAGGCAACGATAAAAATAGTTAGAAAGCAGATTTCAGTAAAATAACACCGGATTTGAACGTTTCAGCATCAGGCCTATCTAGGAAAAAAACAGGCATTTGCCTAAAAATCCTGGCTCTACCAATTACCAATACTGGTATGGTATTGGTTTATAAAACCGTCATGTTTGTGGTTACCAAATCCAAAAACCTTGCCAAAGTCTTTCCACTACCAAAATTTAAAATCGAATATATACGATCATAAGTTAGTTAATTAGCTAAAACAATGTTTAGCTTACAAAAATAAGAGTAGTGGAATTAGTTTTATTAACATGTAATTTAAAAAGCATTTTATATATGAAATATTTAGTATAACTTTTCTCATATTAAGCAAATGAATTCTAATTTAGCGTCGAAGGCCGAAAAAATGCAAAATATATTTTTAAATTTAAAAGGTCAACAGAATTTGACCACCAAATATTTACCCAAGAACAAATAAACCAGCAACAACCAACACCAAAAACACGTTCACAATATTATTCTAGACAAAATGAGAGATTTGAACGTGTACAAGTTGCTGATTCTATGCCAGAATTAAGTGGAAGGATAAGCCAAAAATCAGAAACTTGTGTTTAATAAAATTTTTAAAAATAAGAGAAGATCTCTATATTTGAATCTGAAATATTTTTTGTATACTTATAAATAATTTTTTAATAATTTTAATTTGTTTTTAGATTATTTGAATTTTAAAAGAATACAGCTGACAAGAAAGTAACTGCACATTTTTCGGTCGGCTAAATGTCCAGCTCTAAAATACCGTATTTATTCTAATTGAATGGCCGCCATTCTATTTTTCAATACTCCAAAAAATAGTCATTTAATTGGAGGGGCCATTCTAATAGAGGTCAAGATATCGGATCCACATTATTTTCTGATGTGATCCAAGTCACCTAGTATTTACGATATCTTGCAAATCCATAATATCGCTCCAAATCCTTTAATAATTCTCATGATAACTCTTATACGAATCCATAAATATCTCCTCTAATTATTTTAATCATTCGCTATCTTTCGCAAATCCTTTTAATCTCTTGATAACTCTGTTAATCTTGCCAAAGCCCGTGATATCCCTCTTAATCCCTTTATTATTCCTTTTAGTCATCTCAAAAATATAATAATTATTCATAAAAAGAAATATTAAACTAGATAATAAAGGGAATTAACAAAATGGAGGTGGCCATTGGAGGTGGCCATTCTATTTTTTTTATTCAAAAAAGGGCCATTCAATTAGAGGGTCATTCAAATGGAGGGGCAATTCAATTAGAATAAATAACTTATTCTTGTAAAAATTATTGGTAAATAAGCTGGTGCATATAAGCTCTAAAGGAATTGGCAAAGACATATCACTTCTTCATTTCTTCAACGCAGTTGCCGGCCGGCATTGAGTATCATAATGAAGAGCTCTCCCTATATTCCCCCATTGCGTTTGATTCATTTATTTCTATACTCTGCGAAGTGAGCTCACATATGATTACAACATCCGAGTCTCTGCTATAACATCAACTCACCAACACTTGGAAACGGAACCAACCGCCTTGTTTAGTCAAAGAATTTGGAGGACTAAATATTTAAGAAATAAGATAATTTTTTAATCATTTAATTCTTATTTATTGAAAAATATTTATTGAAAACTTGGTGACGAATATTCCGCTGGAGACAAAAATTTCGAAAATGGAGACGAATGTTCCAAAGCGAAAATTCCGGTACCCATGTTTTACATGTGTAAATTTAACTTTAAAGTTTTATTATTTAAAATTTTATATAAATTAATTTATTTAAAATTTATTTTAATTTTTTCGCAATCAATTTTAAAAATTTAAAGTAAATTATTAATTGATTAATTAAATCCATAAATAAAATTTTTTAAGCGGAAATTACTAGAGAGTGATGAAGAAAGAATTTTGCTAAGAGAGAGAGAGAGATAAATTAATTCTCTTTGAAATAAATGCCGCTTTTTGCATGTGAAAGTCAAAGCAATTTCATAATTTCGATTTTCGAGTTTCTTTAAATTTCGACTGTTGAGTTGTTTTTGTTAATTTGCAAAATTCTTCAAACTTTTGATTTTTTGCCATAACAAGTTTGAATTTCTTTTTCTTGGAAGAAATTCTTTAAAAAAATTAATTCTATTATGTTATAAAATTGACATCATGGAATGAGCCTGCTTGTAAAATTTTTTATTTAAACATATTTTTCGATAAGCGAGGACAAAAAAGAATTCCTTCATTCTAGGTCTTGTTTGCAATGACCATTGAACCTCAACTGGCATGTGATAAAAGTGCAATTTTAAAATTACCGCTATCAAACCTTAAAATATTTTCTAAAATTGAATAAATACAAAAAATTTAAATCGAAAACTGATAGAAAAAGCGTTTAAATCGAAATTTCGAATAAAAAATATTTTTAAAAATAATCGAAAATTCGAAAGAAACTGCTCGCTGCTTTCTCCCGTTAGCTATGTCTTAAGCCCTCTCCATTACCCAATCCTTGTATATTTAGAATGTCTTACAAGAAAGAGAACCTCATTGAGAGAAAAAAAGAATTCGATTAGCGCCCTACCCAAATCCACGAATTGAAAGAGATGTTTACTATTTTAAATCGAAATTTCGAAAGACCTCTGCCAGCTGTATCCTCCTGCTCGCCATGTCTTGTCCTCCCAATTACTCTATCCTTTTCTACACCCCTTTAATTCAGAGAGAGAGATTTATTTTCAATGTTTTACAAGATTATTAGAGAAGAAAAGAGTGATGAAGAAAGAA